TACTGGGGTCTCTTGCTTAGGCTGATCTTGAACTCTTGAGCTTAAGTGATCCACTCACATTAGCTTCCCAGAGTGCTAGGTTTAAAGGCATGAACCACCACATCAGGCCTTTTATTCTTTTGTTAATTTTCCTAATAATTACATGATGCATTCTTGAATTATTATAGTTTAATCCAAATTGTTTTTACCACTCAGTAGTGCTAGAACCTTAGCTCACATTTTTCTGTTCATTGTTGCTCAGTAGTTATTTTCTCTATTTTATTAGAATTTAATTTGATAATACAAAATTATTGCCTCCTGTTCTAAGAGCTACTTTTAGAATTTCTTTCTGTGCAGATTTTACTATCAATGACTTCTTTAAAATCAAACTCTGTTTCTCTTCAAAGGGCTTCATTTCACCTTATTTTTTATCTTTTTTTTTTTGAAACAGAGTCTCAGTCTCCCTGGTGTTGAGTGCTATGGCGTCATAGCTTACCGCAACATTCTCTGTCCTTTGATTTCAACCCTGTAACTGTCTCATGTTTCCTCATTGCTTCTGATTCCGATTGTCTTTAGTTTCTTCATTTCTTTGCTACAGTTTAAATAATTTTTGTTCGGCTTGGCACCTGTAGCTCAAGAGGCTAAGGTGCCAGCCACATATACCAAGGCTGGCAGGTTTGAATCCAGCCTGGGCTTGCCAAACAACAATGACAACTACAACCCAAAAAAAAAAAAGATAGCCAGGCATTGTGGCGGCCAGTTACTTAGGAGGCTGAGGCAAGGAGTTAGAAGTTGCTGTGAGCTGTGACGCCATGGTACTCTACCCAGGGCGACAGCTTGAGGCCCTATCTCAAAAAAATAAATAGAATACTTTTTGTTCTCCTATTTTTTGTTTCATTTTTCCAAATATTCTGAGGTTAAAACCTAATCATGGATTCTTAGCCCCCACCCCCACCCCCCACCAGAGTCTCACTCTGTGGCCCTGGGTAGAAAGTCATAGCATCATCACTCACAGCAATCTCAAACTCTTGGGCTTAGGAGATCCTCTTGCCTTAGTTTTTATGTTTTTAGTAGAGATGGAGTCTCACTAGTGCTCAGGCTGGTCTTGAACTCCTGAGCTTCAGCCTCCCAAAGTGCTAGGATTATAGGCATGAGCCACTGCTTGCATCCCCTCAAACTCTTGAGCTGAAGCAATCCTCATCCCTCAGCCTCCTGAGTAGCTGGGACTATAGGTACCTGCCACCATGTTCAATGAATTTTTCTCCTTTTTTAACTAAAGATGGGATCTCACTCAGCTCAGGCTGGTTTTGAACTCCTGAGCTCAGACGATCCACCTTCCTCAGCCTTCCAGAGTACTAGGATTATAGGCATGAGCCACCAGTCCCCACCTTTCACCAATATCAGATATGTATAAAAATTATGATATTCCAGGTAATGATGTGTTATTCTACATACACAAGTCTGCTTTCCTTGGTGATGGTAATAAAATTGAGAAGATGAGAGAAGGCAACGAAAACTAGGTGGCAGCTTTGGAGAAAGACTTGTACTCCTTCTAGCCCCCACCCCATGTGACTTTCCAGAACCTTTGATCTAGAGCAGTGATTATCAGACTTTGTGCCTCAGCACACTGGTATGCTGTTGAGATCTTAGGTATGCCTCAAAAATTTTTAAAGATGATTAGATATTTTCTGAAGAAATTCAAAGCACCATAAGTATATTCACTTTTTTACTCTTTTTTTTTAAATCAACATAAATGTGCCAGAGAAGTTTACGAGTTCCTGAAAATGAGTCTCCACAGCTGTAAAACTACGTTTTTTATTTCAACCATAAAAGAATGAAAAATAAGGCTCTCTTGTTTAAGGTTGAAAAATACTTGGTATCTTGATTCCCTTAAAAGGAAGTTTTTAAAGAATTTCTGTTTTGTCTCAGTGCCTGTGGCTCAAGTGGCTAAGGTGCCAGCCACATATACCTAAGGTGGCAGGTTCAAATCCAGCCCCGGCCCACCAAACAACAATGACTGCTGCAACCAAAAATTAGCCGGGCATTGTGGCAGGTGCCTCTGGTCCCAGCTACTTGGGAGGCTGAGGCAGGAGACTCACTTGAGCCCAGGAGTTGGAGGTTGCTGTGAGCTGTGATGCCACGGCACTCTACCCAGCTTGAGGCTCTGTCTCAGAAAAAAAGAATTTCTGTACTTCCAAGGTGGTGCCTGTGGCTCAAGGAGTAGGGCAACAGTGCCATATACTGGAGGTGATGCATTCATACCCGGTCCCAGCCAAATAAATAAATAAATAAATAAATCCATTGGGCCGTGCCTGTGGCTCAACCGAGTAGGGCGCTGGTCCCATATGCCAGAGGTGGTGGGTTCAAACCCAACCCTGGCCAAAAACTGCAAAAAAAAAAAAAAAGAATTTCTGTTCTTCCTTAAGCCTAACATCTTAGCATCTCTACCTATGCATCTTCAAAATTTTCCAGTGTCTTAAGGCAGTAGCCAGTTTGTGTTAAGTGACCAGCCGTTCAGCTCTCCACCAGTAGGCATGAGTGATAGGTGTTCTTAATACATCAGGATACAAATTTTATCAGATACATAATTCACAAATATTTTCTCACAGTTTATAAGTTGTGTTTTCACTTTCTTGATGGTACAAATGTTTTGTTTGTTTGTCATTTTGAGACAAGAGTCACAACTCTGTCACCCTGGATAGAGTACCCAAGTGTCATAGCTCACAGCAATCTCAAACTCCTGGGTTCAAGTGATCTTGCCTCAGCCTTCTAAGTAGCTGGGACTATTGGCAGCCACCACAACAGGGAGCTATTTTTCTATTTTTAGTAGAGATAGGGTCTCACTCTTGCTGACACCGGTCTCAAAGGCCTGAGCTCATGAAAGCCACCTGCCTTGGCCTCCCAGAGTGCTAGGATTACAGGGGGAAGTCATCATGCAAGGCTGTACAAATGTTTTTAATTTTGATGAAATCCAATTTATCGATCTTTTGTGATTTGTTCTTTTGGTATCATATCTAAGAAATCTTTGACTTAACCCAAGTTCATTAAGATTTACTCCTATTCTTCCTCTAAGAATTTTTTATTGTATGCACTTAACGTTTCCATCTATGATCCACTGTGTTAGGTTTTTTTAACTTAATGATATCAGGGTAGAAGAAGTCCTAGTGCATTATTTTGCATTTGGATATTCACTTGGAGCATCCATCCCAACTCTTAACTTTTTTGAGATAGTTTCTAGCTTTGTCACTGGAGTATAGTTACACCATCATAGCTCACTATAGCACCGAGCTCCTAGGCTCAAGCAATCCTTTGGCCTTGGCCTTCCAAAGTGCTGCGCTAATAGGCATGAACCAACATGCTCATCCTTCCAGATTGCTGGCACTACAGGTATATGCCACTATGCCCAGCTAATTTTTTTATTTTTGGTAGAAGCGAGGTCTTGCTATGTTGCCCAGGCTGGTCTTGAACTACTTGATTCAAGCCACCCTTCCACCTCAGCTTCCCAAAGTACTGGCATTACAGCTGTGTGATGCCACGGCACTCTATCAAGATCAATAAAGTGAGATTCTGTCTCAGAATCTCTTTTTTTTTTTTTGTGGCTGAGCATGGTCGCTCAAGCCTATAATCCCAGCACTTTAGGAGGCCCAGGCAGGTGGATTGCTTGGGCTCATGGGTTTGAGACCAGCCTGAGCAAGTTTGAGACCCCATCTCTAAAAAATAGGCGCTATGGCAGGCACCTGTAGTCCCAGCAACTCAGAAGGCTTGAGACAAGAGAATCACTTACGCCCAAGAGTTTGAGGTTGCTGTGAGCTGTGATGCTACAGCACTCTACTGAGGGCAATAAAATGAAACTCTGCCTCTTAAAATAAAAAAAGGTGGTAGAAGTTGGGAGCCTGTAGCTCAGTGTTTGGAACACCCGCCCTGTGTAGTAGGGAGGCAGGCACAGTGTAAGGGTAGTAGTGAGAGGTAGAATATAGCCCCTACATTACCTGTGTCTTCTTTTTTGGCCCATACAGGCCTTAGTTTATCTTCCGCTCCTAGATAGACTCTTTTGAAGGGAGTAGTTTGCCATTTGAGGTGTTTTCCTTTGATCCTTTAAATGGGTTGATTTATCTCTATAAGGACAAAAAATTCAGAGACTTTTTGTTTTCTTTTGTTGAGACAAAGTCTCACCACGTCACCCTCAGTAGAGTGAAGGCATCACAGCTCACAACAACCTCAAACTCTTGGGCTTATGCCATTCTCTTGCCTCAGCCTCCCAAGTAACTGGAACTATAGGCATCCGCCACACTGCCTGGCTATTTTCTTGTTGCAGTGGTCATTGTTCTTTTTTTTTTTTTTTTAATTGAAATAAATGTTTGGTAGAGGCCAGATGTGGTCGGTTCATGCCTGTAACCCCAGCACTCTGGGAGGCTGAGGTGGGAGGATCCCTCGGAGTTCAGGACAAACTTGAGCAAGAGCAAGACCCTATCTCTACTAAATTTAGAAAACAATTAGATAGCACTGTGGTGGGTGCCTGTAGCCCCAACTATTTGAGAAGCTAAGGCAACATTGCTTGAATCTAGAGCACTCTTCACTGAGCAACAGAGTAAGACTCTGTCTTAAAAAAAAAAAAAAAATAGATTTGGTGTCTGTACCTCAGCAGCTGGGGCCCCAGCCACATACACTGGAGTTGGCAGGTTTGAATCCAACCTGGGCCTGCCAAACAACAGTGACAATTACAAGCAAAAAATAGTTGGGCGCCATGGCAGGCACTTGTAGTCCCAGCTACTTGGGAGGCTAACACAGGAGAATCGCTTAAGCCCAAGCGTTTGAGGCTTGATGTGCTGTGGCACCACAGCACTCTACTGAGGGTGACAAAGACTGTCTCAAAAAAAAAGAAATAGTAGAAACATACAAAAGGGACACGTGGAATACCGTTCTTAATTCATTGTGCTCACTTTGCATGGCATCTTTTGCATTTTTTAAATGTTTGCTAAGCAAATGACTACCTAATAATTGGAGTAATTTCTTACCCTTAGCATCTTGCTGCTGTGGAAGAGAGAAAGATCAAGTCGCTAGTAGCTCTCCTTGTCGAGACACAAATGAAGAAACTAGAGATCAAACTTCGACATTTCGAGGAGCTGGAAACTATCATGGACAGAGAAAAAGAGGCTGTAAGTAAGAGGAATAATAACTATAATGTTATAATATACAAAAAAGTAATAGTGGCTTTTTTTTTTCGCAGTTTTGGCCGGGGCTGGGCTTGAACCTGCCACCCTTGGTACATGGGGCTAGCGCCCTACTCCTTGAGCCACAGGTACCACCCTACAGTTTTGGGGGGGTTTTTTTAATAGTGGCTTTTTGATAATTAAACTCTGACCATTTCTCATGAAATATAGGTTAGATATAATAAATGGTAACTTATTTTGTTGGTCTCTGTAGCTAACTTCTGTCTTTTTTCTTTGTTGGATTTGTCCTTTCAAAAGGATTATCAGCCAGTGATAATAAATAAAAGGAACTCTGTTCATTTTCTAAACTCTAATTATGTAAATCATAGCTTTGTGCACCTCTTAGCTATGAAGGAAACAGTGATTCTAAAGTGTGTTGTGGTGCTGGTATGGGAACAGAAAGGAGAAATAAATCCCTGGAAGATGGGGAGAGAAAAAGGGTATCAGAAAAACCTTCTAGAGGTAGAGCTTAGCAGAATAAGTATTTTTATTTATCTTGCCCTAGTAAGCTTTGTCATTTTATGGATTTTCTTAAACTGATTAGGATACTAGAGGGCTATAATATAATGGATTATTGGAATATGCAAAATTCACATGATGGTTGGGTGGTTTTCAGTTGCATCCAGATGTGTTACTGTCATTTGTGAAGCATGACTGATGTGTTAGCCTTGCAGATTGGGATGACCCTAACTGAGCATTTTTACATAATAATGTCTACATTGTTAAGGGACTCTTTCTTCATCTCTGAGTCACTTTCTCTTCAGAGGGTAAACCTTCAGCTCTCTGTTCTTTTAGACCTTTTTTTTTTGGAGACAAGAGTTTTACTAACGTAGCCCTCAGTAGAGTTTAAACTCTTGGGC